TAGAAGCTAATAATAGTCTTTATATTAAGTTCTATAAAGACTAGAGTAATAGAGTCTCTAAGCGTAAAAAAGCTCTAGAGTACTAGTAGAGAAGAAACTACTACTTACGTAAGCGTATTAACTATATTAGAGATATTTTTAATACTAAGACTACTATAGAAGAGTATACTAGACTACACTATAGCGTTTATAAGAGACTATAGAATTCTTTATTATCTATTTAAAATAAGCCTTCTAGCTTCTAGTACTTTACTATAAGTAATAAGTAACTAATAAAGGCTGTACGTAGAATAAAACCTAATAGTACTATTCTTAATAATAATAATGTTAAAGGTTCTACTACTTCTACTAGTACTTCTAGTACTATATAGTCTACTATTAGATCTAAGCCTTCTTATAGAATATAGATTAGAGACGTATATACTAGGCTTAAGCTTACTATAAGTATACTTTATAAGATTAGTAAGGCTATATATATCTATAATCTCTATTATTACTATATATAGGTAATTAAACGTTTATAAGACTATTATAATAACTACTTACTCTAGAAGTAATATAGACTAGAAAGAAATATATAGAACTATATAAGAGCTGTCTATTATATTATCTAGAATAAAGCTAATATCTTAGTTATTATAGTAGTGTCTATACTAGAGCTTGCAAGGTAGATTAAATATATAAGTAAAATAGAGTAGTATATACTAGTACGCTTTCTTATTTGTAAGCTATATTATTATACTAAACTAGTAGTAAAAGCCTACGTAGAGGGCGCTATAAAAGCGCTTAAATCTAGCATTCTTTAGAATAAACTAATTATTACTAACTATAATAAAGTAATAGCTTACTAGAAGGTAATCTAGGCTCTCTAGACTCTATAATAGAGTAACTCTCTTCTATATCTATAGAAGAATACTAATAATAAAGAAAAAAGTACTTTATTAGCTACTACTATAAAGTCTCTTAAAGTACTTACTTATAACTCTAACTATAGTATAGATCTAGAGAAGTATTATACTCTTAGTAATAATAGATCTCTCTTACTAGAATACCTCTATAGCTAATAATTCTATAAAAACTAAAGTAATACTATTAACCTCTTTCTATATATAAGACAATATTAAGATATACTACGCTAGAAATAGTACGCTCTCTATAACAATAATAATAAGTTTAAGCCTCTCTAGTATACTATAATATAACTATACTACTAGTAAATACTAAAAATATATTTCTTAGTTCTCTGTATATTTAGTATTAGATATAACGTAGAAATAAATAAGTCTACTACAATACTACTCTAGTATAATATACTTCTACTATAATATTCTAAACTTATTATATTATAGACCTATACGCTATTTAGCAAGATAGTACTTCTATATTATACTAGTAATAATATCTTACCTTCTTATTATCTCTCTAGCTTTTTTATTAACTATCTACTCTATAATAGCTTTTTCTACTTACTATATTATCTCTTTAGCTACTACTAAAATAGAATTATTCTCTAGTTTATCTATAGTTATATTACTAGCTCTCTTAACTCTTTTATTAGAGTAGCCTAACTTTATTACTCTTAGAATATCTTGCTTAAGTCTATTATAAAGCTTCTAGCTTATAATAAAGTTATTAAGCGCTATAGTTACTTTAGTAAAGAGTATCTACTTCTTAATTATATACTTAGATCTATATATAATACGCTATATCTTTTAACACTACTTAAAGATACTCTAAAGTTATTTAATACTTATATAAAGAGATAAATAGCGTATATTAAAGAGCTCTTTTTTACTATAAGCGTTTTAACTTATAGCGCTTCTAGTAGACTTAGTAAGATAGTACTAAGTATTAGAGTAGAGTATTATTATAATAGAGGTAAGAGAATACTCTAAATCTATAAGAAAGTACTTATTATAAAGTAGTTTAAGATTATAGAATAATACTACGTATTTAAACACTCTTGCGTTATATACGCAACCTTTCTACCTAGCTATATAATAGATAAATATATAATTAAAGTTATATACTCTAAGTATATTCTAGGTATAAAACTACTTATAATAACGCTATATCTTTTTATTACTAATACTTAGTAGAATATAAGCGCGTAAAAACGTGCTATCTATAGTACCTATATAATTCTAGAACTATAAGTAGAACTTTATACTACGCTAAAGCTAAGATAGAAAAGTAGTATTACTACTAAAGAGTTATATAGCCTTCTTAAATAGAGTATAAAGCTCTTATAGATACTTATTTATAATATAATAAATAGTAGCTTTTAAATACCTCTAGTATTAAGAGCTAGAATCTACTATATTAGTGTAACTATAATAGTAGAGAAAGATAAGTAACTTCTTATCTAGTTCTACTATAGTCTTGTACTTCTACTTTAGTCTATCTAGCGTAGTATTATATATACACTATTTATATAGCCTCTAAAAAATAACCTTATCTATTCTTATAGCTATATAGAACTAGTAATTAGATCTATCTAGTAAATGCGTAACGCAATTCTAGTAAAAAAGTAGATAAAATTATAAGCTGTAGCTACTATAATTTAGTAATAGAGCTGCCTATGCTATAACGTCTATAAGTATTATAGCTACTACTCTAATAGTCTATAGTAGTAGACTATTTATATTCTCTACGCCTAGCTCTTTTATATTATTCTTCTTATACGCAACAGCGCTATCTAGTATAGTATCTTCTACGTCTAATATATATAGAAAGCTATTAACACTATAGTTATAGTTATTAGAGTTAAAGTTAGATCTAGAGTTAATATATACGTTAGCTATACTGTAAACGTAGTAGTAGTATAATATTATTATTATTTAGTAGAATAGTTAATAGACTTTAGAATACCTTAAACCTTATTATAAGCGCTAGTAGTAATATAGGCTGTTTACATTACTACTATAGATTCTCTAACTTCTTTACTTTAGAACTCTTTCTCTACTAACCTCTATTATAATATAGTAGTATAATATATAAGAATAGCTAAATATTTATAGATCTATACTAGTAGTATAATATAATAGCTTAAGCTACTACTCTTCTCTACGCCTATAATAGTATAATAAAAGAGGCTATATAGATATAACTAGTACACGTCTATACGCTAATAGTAGTATAATATAGCTAAGTAAGCGCTACCTATTTATATAGTTATCTATAGCAGTATAATATAACCTAACTATACTTATATACTTATAGTAGTATAATATAGTTATTTACGCGCTGCCTATTCTTACACTTACCTATAGTAGTATAATATAAGCTAACTATACTTATATATATATAGTAGTATAATATAACATTATATAAAGGTACTACTATAACCTATATCTTTATATATATAGTAGTATAATATAGATACTACTATCTATTAAGAGGTAGTGTTAGAGAGCCTATTATAAGCAACTTAGCTACACTATTTATACCTACACTATATTCTATTTATATACTAACTAATATAGTCTTTTTTTATTAAAATAATCTAGATAAGTAGCTTAGTAGTAGAGCGCTATAGACTTATATTAGTAGATAGAACTTAGCTTAGGTTATTTTACTTCTTATATATACTTACTATCTTATTATAATACTTATTTATAGAGGTTCTAGGTTTAATCTCTAGCTTATCTATTCTTTTTTTTTACTTTTTTTTTACTTTTTTTTTTTACTTCTCTATTATAAGGTTTCTCTCTATATATAGCTATAGTAGTATAATATCTAAAAGCTTCTTAGAAGTAGTAGCTCTATATAGTAGTATAATATCTAAGAGCTTCTTAGAAGAGTAGTAGCTCTAAAAGCTTCTTAAGAGAGTAGTAGCCTAAGAGCTTTTTAGAGAGGTAGTAGCCTAAAGACTTTTTAGAAGAGTAGTAGCTCTAAGAGCTTCTTAAAAGAGTAGTAGCTCTAAGTAGTAGTATAATATCTAAGAGCTTCTTAGAGAAGTAGTAGCTCTAAGTAGTAGTATAATACTTAAGAGCTTCTTAGAAAGATAGCAGCTCTAAGTAGTAGTATAATATCTAAGAGCTTCTTAGAAGTATAGTAGCTCTACGCAGTAGTATAATATCTAAAGAGCTTATTTAGAATAGAAATAGCTTTGTATAGTAGTATAATACTTAAAAAGCTTCTTAAGTTAGAATTAGCTTTGCGTAGTAGTATAATATTTAGAGAGCTTATTTAGAATAGAAATAGCTCTACGTAGTAGTATAATGCCTAAAAACTTCTTAGAATAGAATTAGCTTTACGTAGTAGTATAATACCTAAAGGCTTCTTAGAATAGAATTAGCTTTACATAGTAGTATAATACTTAAAGACTTCTTAGAATAGAAATAGCTTTATACTATAGTATAATACCTAAGAGCTTTTTAGAATAGAAATAGCTCTAAGTAGTAGTATAATACTATACCTATATAGTAATTAATTTACTATATATTTAATAAGCGCCTAAATTAAGTATTCTACTACTATATATACTTATCTAGCGTAAAAAAAGTATATAATAAAAGCTTTAATTATATAATAGAACTACTCTCTATAATTAGATAATAATAAAATATATTCTACTACTTTTTAAATACGTTATATACTTTTAGTGTATTCTACTACTATTATATAAATTGCTAGTTACTAAACACACGTATATAATAAATTGTATTATGTTATATCTTAGCATTGTACTAGTATTTGCGATCACCAAACAGGCCCTAGATTGCGCTAGCGCCAGGTCCCTTCCGTACCTGCACCGCGAATCTCACCGCATATTACGCAAGACACAATAGATCCACCGTCAGATCTCCAATCGGCTTCTAATTTGAGGTGGATCTCAACTCAGATTCGACGAGTACAAGGTCAGGTTGTCTACGCTAGGCTGCCCGGCACGACTTACCCAATGCGGACAAATATCACGGAGAGGAGAAGAAGGGGTAGGCAGCAATCAGTGCTCAACGGGGCCAAAGCAGTACTCAGTCGCAGCTTGGTCTTTGTATATGAAGAACGGTATTTGTCGCTGAACGTTAGATAATTAACTTCAAATCCCCCCAACTTCTCCTTCAAACACAACCCCACACATCACCAGCCAGTAAGTAGCGACACCACCTTAATCAATTCAGCGTCGACTAGGAAACACATACTTACCATTCTATAGTGTCTCAGAAATACGTACCTCTCACCATCATCAAGGGCGCGGGCCATGAGTACATCCCCATCCCCGAGGGCGAGAGCGCCATCGTCGCAGACTTCCACTCGTAAGACCACCAACCACTGCACCTCACAACATCAACATCCCCACCTCTTCTCCAAACCAAACTCCTAGTCTTCTCATCTAACGCACCCCCAGCATCCGCACCCAAACCACCGACTCCCCCACATACCTGACCTCAGGCTTCTACCGCATCAAAGCGGGCCCCACCCGCAACATCCCCACCTACGACTACGAGGAAACCAAGTACGTTCTCAACGGCCAAATCGACGTATTAGACGAGGCGACCGGTGTCACACATCACCTTGTTGCGGGCGACTTTGCTTTCTTCCACGTTGGCTCCAAGGCGCAGTTCTCGAGCAAATCGGGTGGAACGGCTTTCTTTGCGGTTACTAGGCCGATTATCACGCAGCATCCGGGGTTGAAGGGGAGGGAGGAGAAGGTGTTGAGCAAGTTGTAGATTTGGATATGGGCTATGGGAGGGATCGTCTAGGATCGAGTATGGCGGCGGCGAATGATGACGACGAGGACGGCTTTGGCGGGCGCAATCTCGTGACATGTATCGTTGCTAGGAACTAAAGGAACGAGTTGTCGAGTTCGATGAAAATAAATGACGAATAATGGACCACATTACCCCAATGCTGAAGTACCGACGAAAACGCCTCAGTACTTCAGTATTGGGGTAATGGGGTCCCTCGTTTGTCATTTAATCTCATTTATGGAACTCATTCCTCGATGCCAAAGCCTCTATCGAATTCAAAATCCAGCACTCGAAAATGCAGTGATACCTAGGTACATTTCTTAATACTCTTGCGCCAATGTATAGGTGTCAAACCTCGTGAATGGAGAGTGCACTCTAATGGAAGACATGCGCGTTCAGATGTTGGCCTGTAGATAAAGCTGCGATATTCCCGAGATAGCTCCGAGATATTATCGTGCTCGGGCGGGGTCCAGACTTATATGCCGCTAACGTCATCTGGACCCTTCGATCGCGACAATCTTTCATGTGTACGCCATCATCTCAACTCATGCATCGTGTATTCTCAACACCACGAGGATGGCGCAGTCGCCTCTATCCGGCGTCATGATGCCGCCACGCTTCAATATCGAGTTGGACCGTACGGACCCCGACGTTCCCTTCCGCGCATCGCAGTCACACATCCATCACACATGGGCTCGGACGTTCCATTCGCGGCCGGAGCTGTACATCCGGCCGCAGAGTCTTCAGGAAGTGCAGAAGGTTGTTAACCTTGCGAGACGTATGCGAAGGCGCGTAGTTACTGTAGGATGCGGACATTCACCCTCAGATATAACGTGCACCTCGGCATGGATGATCAACCTCGACGACTACAAGGAGGTGTTGAACGTTGACAAGGAACGCAAGACGATGACTGTGCAAGCTGGAATACGCCTACATAATCTCAATCTCCAAGCGAAGAGCCACGGCTTGACCATGCCAAATCTCGGATCCATCGACGATCAATCGCTGGCGGGTGCGATTGCGACAGCGACGCACGGCAGTTCATACAACCACGGCCTCCTCTCCGACCGCGTCCAGAGCCTCCGGATAGTACTGGCGAACGGCCAAGCGGTACGCTGTTCCCCCCAGCAATCGCCGGATCTCTTCCGGGCCGCGCTCGTCTCGCTGGGCGCATTAGGCATTATCGTCGAAATCGAGTTCCAGATGATCGAAGCGAACAACGTCGAATGGATACAGACTATACTGCCGATCGAAGACGTCCTGGCAGATTGGAACAACGGGCTCTGGACATCGAGCGAGTTCACGCGAGTATGGTGGCTGCCGTACATGAAGCGCGCAGTCGTATGGCGGGCAGACAAGACGGACAAGGCGCATCGGCAGCCGGAGTACAACTGGTATGGCGGTAGCGTCGGCTTCCACACATATCACATTCTCCTCTGGATATCGCAGTATGTCCCGCGCTTCCTGCCCTGGGTTGAGTGGTTCGTCTTCGGCATGCAATACGGTTTCAAAGACGGCGCTCTCATCTCTGCCGTCGGCGAGCAGCGCACGGAACTTCTGATGAACTGCCTCTACTCGCAGTTCGTTAACGAATGGAGCGTTCCCCTCGATAAGGGTCCTGAGGTATTGTCGCGACTGACAGACTGGTTGCACGGCGACGAGCAATCCTCCGGCATTCCCTTCAGCACCAAGGGTCTCTACGTCCACTCGCCTATCGAAGTCCGCATCGCAAACACCGTCAACCGAGAACCGCGTCCGTTCCTTGATACTTCATATCCCGATCAACCCGCTCTATACCTCAACGCCACGTTATACCGTCCCTACGGCCAGGACCCCCCTTGCCGCGAACGCTACTACCAAGCTTTTGAACACCTGATGAAAGAGTACAATGGCCGACCTCACTGGGCAAAGAACTTTCAATCCGTCGACAACGCCTACCTCTCCTCCGTATACGGCAACGACCTAGACGAATACAACCGCGTCCGCAACGAAGTCGACCCCGAAGGCATGTTCCTCGGCGCCTGGCACCGTCGCACCATCCTCCCTCCCAAGACCGACCTCCCCCTTCTACCTCTCGAAGAAAAGGAAGTCGTACGCCGCGACCGACGCACGGGTGGGGTTGACTGGATAGGCGAGCAAGCCCGGTGGTTCGATGGCGGTGCTGATGTGTTTGAGAAGGCGGGCAGCGAGTCTGGTGAGAGCTTCGATTACATGGCCGGCGCGGAAGCGGAGAGCAGTGTGTTGTTGGAGAGCTTGAGCGATGATCTTATTGTCACGGAGGAGACTTATGAGAATGTCACCGAGAGTCGGAGGAGAGAGGGCACTGAGGAGTATGTTACGGGTACGAATGTGTTCAATAAGATGTAGATGTCATTGTACCTAGGTATATAAAAGGAGACGGGGATACATGTACATGGTGGGGAAATACACCACTCAATGAAGATATGATAACGATGTAGCAGTATTGCGATGCTTGCTTGTCTCCGTTGCCGTGATAAATAATGTTGCCCAGGTGTATCTCTGGGGTGGCTTGCGTACCAGTGCGCCCAAATGGGTAAGGCGCATCCGTGACTTCCCATCGTCATACTTCCAACATTGACGCGTCTGCCACCATCACCCACGTTCACTACAGTCAGTCGAAGACATGGTGACTATCAACGAACACATGTCGTCGACTGCATACCCCTCTCCTTGTGGCGATCATCGCGATCACCGCGATCGACGATAATATATCGAGCGGATGGACCCATCGGCAAGAAGCCGGCTGCAGATGTGAACATGGGCAACGGCGTCTCACTATTTGATAGGGGAAGTTGCTGCACTGCGTTCTTCTTCATAGACATCGTTGTGTCCCATCGTCACTCGACTAACAGCATCACAGTGTTGATACCATGCAGTTGTATGTCCGGTCGACCGTGTACTGGCGATAACATAGCGCGTCCTCGGGGATTGGGCGTTGCCATGGCATATGTCCAACTTTGCTCAGCACTCGATTTCCTCATGCCCGAAGATTAGCCCTACGAATTAAAGGCCTTACGGAAGAGGAGACCCGTAACGAGGACTTCTATCACAGTTCGACGCCACATGCAGCCACCCCTTACGACTTCTCGGTTGATGGGCGTTATTTCCGCTTGCGAGATCATGACCCACAAGTAATATATCTCCTACCTTGGCAGCCACGTTCTGAGCTTGGCATGCAGCCACAACACGAGGAAAGCTTGGCCGATTCTAGAAGGTGGCCGACATGATTGCTTGGAAGTCTGCTTGCAGGGATATAGGAGAAAAGGAAGTCAATGCAGGGAGTTCAAGGCGAACGATATTTGAACGAGCGATTAGATTGACATATTACGGACTAGTTCGAACGACCCGCATCGCCCGTATCTACAGTCTAATTCGGACAGCAACCGAAGCGCCGCTATTGTCTGTTCTTGCACACCGACTGCTCATCCGATTATCCGCGACCCATCCTGACTTAGGAAGTCTGCACATAGATGTCCGAGCTGCCAGAAGATTGGTAACCCTCAGTGGCAACGATCTGGTAGTAGTGCTGGCCCAAGTTCATGCCGTAACGAGCCCAGGCGTTGAAGTGGTTTTGCATGTTGACGCTGCCACCGACGCGCTTCTGCGTGCGGACAGACCTGGGAGGTTGTTAGTGCGCGTCCAACGCCCACATGTTGCTTGTCAACTTACCAGTACTGCTGAAAGGTCCTTGTTCCATCGATGGAGGGCTGGTTGGTACGGGTGGAGGTGGAAACGTCGTAGGTACCGCCGTCAGTCGTGAAGCTGCCCTTGCGCTGGGATCCGCTGCTGGGGTTGTAGGTGCCGTAGGACTCGATCACGTAGTACTCCACAAGCGGGTTGCGGGTCCAACCGTAGACGGCAAGGTAACCGTTACCCTGAGGCTGGAAAGATCCGCCGTAGTTGATCGTGCTAGGATGGAGATCAGCAAATGATGAAGCTTAGTTCTTCCAGATGACATACCGGCCGGTTCCAGGGTTCCATCCCTTGCCACCGACGAAGTTGCCGGTGTTCCTCCAGGTCACGGAGTACCTGCTGCCCTCTCCCATGGTGTACTGAGCGGAACCACCGCCATCAGTCCACCACGAGTAGAAGTACCCGTTGTTGTAGCCCTCAGCGCTGGGAGTGGACTGACGCTTCTCAAGAGCAGTTGCGTTGCCATCGTCACGCTCAGTGAGGAAGTCAAAGGGAGCGGCGAGCACGCTGGTGGTAGCCATAGCGGCGAGAAGGAGAGACTTGAAAGAGACCATGTTGAGCTGAGTTGGAGATCTGTGCTGGATGCGGTGATGATACTGAACTGCGAGAAGCAACGAGCTTATATGTCAACTTCGAGGTGGAGATGAGCCTGAATCGCTGGAAGAAGTCGCCTTTGGTGGTCATGAGGTATCATCTCGCCTCTGTCTACATCCGTCTTGGTGTCAACGACGATGGTGTGTTCCAGTCCTCTCATTTCGAAAAGCACGCCCAGCGCACTGACTAGAACGGCCTAGGAACCACGAACACGGCAAGCTGCACCGTTCAGTGGCCGGCCTCGGTAATCATGGAAAAGATAGAAGAGCACAAAGATCCATGCCCCTTGCACCCATCTGCACGACACCACAAAGATAATATCGCTGATCCGGGCTTTACGCGCTTTCTCAACCCGGTTCACAGGATGTTAATATAAAAGAACGCCACTAGGGTACAGGTGGTCGCCTTACCCCACACTCCTCGGAAGACAACGAAGCTTGGAAGGAACACCCGCCGCGCTAATGTCATGTAGGCGATGATATTGTTAGCGACAGTGGCGCACGTGATGAAACATTGGGCGCTCATGGCGGGAAGCCTCGGCAAACTCAGGATAGCCACCGGATGAAGAGGATCTGCCAAGATTTATAGTAGCCGGCTTTTCTACCGATCCTGGTAAGACATGCCAAGCGCGGTGGGTATCTTGAGCGGAGATGATGTGTGGAGTGCATGAGTGGATCTCGAGGTCGGTAAGTACATGAAAACAATGTTACTATGCACTACATGAACGCATAATGGTCGTGTTATTACTGACAGGTCAAGGCACCCCTGGAAGTGTATCGAGGTTCGCGAACTCTTCACAATTCACACATTCGGTGTTTAGGAGATCATCACTTCGCGAACTCTCATTCTGCCTTGATCGCCTGTACTCAGTTAGGCGATCGACACGATGGTCTCTGACTAACAACATCAACTACAGGATGAATTGTTGGTGCAACACCATCCGAAGCGACCACCAGTGTCTAGCACTAACGGCTTCGCGTACAGCAGCGGGGACTAAGGCTGCGCTTGTAGGTCGCGCAACTTGCCCATTTCTCTAGATCCAAGACCGCCGAATGCTTCATATTAGCTGGCAAGCCGGTGGCATCTAGAAGTCGTACGAATTTACCCAGCCATATCCTTGATGGCGCGTAGATCAGGGTCGGTCCATCCGATGGCTATCACGGCATCATCGCGGAAGAAGGAAACATGAAGGACGTGGGCAGGGATTGCATCCGGTTTACAGTGCTACACCACGGTGGAAAGGAGTATCTGCATCCTGGTGTGTGGCAACGTCAACTTCAGCCGCTGCTGTATACCGGTGTAGATTCTTGTCCCTGTGTGACTAGTCTGGCTGCTGCTATCAACGATATCGGCTTCCTAAGATTTTGTGCTGTTTCAGCCAGGTGTTGTGGATATCAGATCTTGCCGAGTACGATTCCCGGAGTCATCTCATGGCCCACCAAAGCTCCTGCTTACCACCGACCCCTGACAAGCCTTTTTGTCGTTTGCCACACTGCGGCTGCGCAGGCTATACGACTTGGGAGATCAGCTGTCCGGTTCGTGCGAATGATGCGTGCAAAATTTCTCAGTGCAAAATTAGAACGCCTGGAGATCTAGCCGAAGAGTTTTCGTACGTTCACACCGCGCTGATTATTCATCTCGCAGAGATGGTTAGAAGGAGGACTGTGCGGAATTGATGTATGTTATACTACCAGAGCGTTACATGCACGATACAAAGTCAACATGGACGTTAAGGTGACTCTAAGCAGAACGAAAGATGACATGAAAGACGATCCGCATCTTCTCACTCGCTCAGACTCACTTCTCGAGATACGAACCACCTAGTCTGCCCAGAGCCCTGCCTAAAGCACCCATGATGCCTCCAGAAGCCATCTGTTGCCGTCCTACTTCCTCACGGTCCAATCGATCCCAAGCCGCACACACGTCGCCCATCTCGACCTCGTCTTTCTCATCGAAGCTCAACTGAGCGGTGAAAGACGCAACAGTCGTAGTGCCAAGCATGATCGTGTGCGGAAGAATACCACTGCTCAGCACACTATGTGCTGTGTATAGCGACGGTAGAGCATGAACCCCGCGCTTCTTCCGCTCGATATTGACAAGCTTCAGGAACGCGGTGATCACGGCGTCTCGAGTAACCTTTCCGCTTTCCTCAGCCTCCAGGGCTTCACGAAAGGAGCAGGAAGACTCCGTGCCCAGACGCATATGACTTGGCTCACGGGCCGACGCAGAAGCTTCAGGGACTTCTGAGCTATAAAACACTGCTTTCACAGACTCTTCACTTGGGCCCGCACTCTGTAGTGGGTCATGAAACTCTTCTTTGCTGTCTGAGCATGTGGCAGATTGGAGGCGTCCCTGCTGCGTGGCACTCACTTCACACTTCTCAGTGCTGACAGATGCAGCCTTCTCCGAACCGTCCGCGTAGCTCCAGACTTCTGCGCGATCCATCCAATCCTTGTTCGTAGGTTGTAGAGACCAGCCGGGTACTTCGAGGCTCTCTATACTCGCACTTTCCTCCACATCATGCAGCCTGTTGCGGATGCCGAGGTTTAACGGAGCGTCTTCAATGCGACTGTCAATACTCTTGGAGGTCTCATCATGTGCGCCACCGAAGTGCTCGAGGTAACCCTTGCTTGGAGAAGCGACTGAGTCAAAGTCTGACCCGCCGTCATCCTTGACGGTTTCGACGTCATGTAGAAGCTGGTCGTATGCGATGCATTGGATCACACCATCCGCGCTCGCTAAGAACATCCGATGAGGAAGTATACTGTCAAGTGAAAAGTTGGTGCTGGTCTCATCGAGACCCTGATCCACTTCGTAGTCCGCAACAAGACTAATTGTCTTAAGCGTGCAGTACCGTACAAGAGCCCGCTCTTGGTTTGCACAGTCAGAAGAAACTTCCGGCTTCTTCTCGACATTAGTGCCAGCACATTCAATAAACGCAGGTCCTGAAGTGGTGGCAGTCGTGGCATCCCGGAGCCGCGTGAATATCGAGGACTCTGTCACATCCGAGTTTCGTGACAAGGCTTCCTCGAAAGCTCTCGTCGATGCTGCGGCGGTCGTAAAAGTAGGACTTCGTAGGTCTTCCACAAAGGCTTTGCTGAAAGCCAACGAAGTTGGACCTTCGTCCTCAATGTCCTCGACATCCTGGGAGAGGGAAGATGCGTACTCGTGCTTGGAAACGTCGGTGACATTGGAGCTTTTACCAAAAGTAACAACGCTAGTGGGAGCTGCGAAGGTGAAGGTATCGTTGAAGCTGCCCAGGGACTCTAAAGGCAGTGCGGACAACGTAGGCAAAAGGCCTGAGGACTGAGACCCAGTGACATCAGTGCTCGATGGTGGTAGCTGCTGTGATGCAGTTGGTAGAGATGAAGCAGCGACTATATTTTCATACGACATAAGGCTGTAGTGCTCAGGGTGGGAAACAGCAACATTGCGTGTCGATGTTGCGCTTTCCTGAGTAGGTGTAAATGCAATTGCGGGCAGGTCGAGCCGCTCAGGCTCGATAGTATTGACTAGTGCATACTCTACGTTGCTCAAAGGAGCCTCCTTAGTAGCTGATGCACTTTGTTTCTTGACAGCTCTCTTCGCTGCCTTCTTTTGTCCCTTGGTCAGAGGTAGGAGAGGCATGCTGGCGGCGGTAGGGTGTAGATATGTGGAGAGCCCTCTTATTTTCTTGAAGTGTCTTGCAGTGGGAGCGGGACGGTCTGTTCCAGACAGACGAGTATTACGTGATAGGTAGGTGCCGCAGGTGTAGTTGAACCGAGAAGCGTATAATCACCGCTTCTGAAGTACGTAGATTCTATTTTCGCCTCTTACGGACGAGGCAGGGAGTGAAGGTAAGTATAGCAACTCGGAGGTGGCCATATCTGCGAATACTTGGCAAAGGCACGACTGTACGCATGTGAGAGTGGTGAAAGCTCCATACACATGATGTGAATCAAACCTTGGAAGCCATCACTCGGGTGATGACACGCCATTGCAAACCATGTGGAGGACGTGTATATATCGTTCTGTTCATTAAGGATGTAGCATATATCCGTAGTGGAGATCTCGTAGTGAACACAGAAGAATAGGTGTGTCGCATTTCTATAGGCCAATGGGTGCCTTCTACATCTGTCCGGTCTAGTGTAGCAAGTGTTTGGCTGATATGAAGTGATTGTGCTAACGATCTCGCAGTTGGACGTTGGCAAAATTTTCGAATATCTATCCGTGGTCTCGATTGTTCCGGAAGATGACCATAGCATCGCTTCCGAACTAGATGTGGATATGCTAAAGACACTACCTAAGCACGAAGTATTGATTAGCATATCGAAAGGAAACCTGAAAGTCTGCAAGACGTTATGCTTGGAGATGAAAGCTTCCAATAGTATATGCGCGAGATACGTTAACAAAACCTAGAGGTGGTGATTACCCCTCACCGTAACAGTCATATACCTAAGCAGGTAACGTTGGCACGAGACGAGCCAATCGCGGATAGACTAATGACATACAACCTTGGAGATTGTTCTCAACGATCATCGCCACAAAGGATTTCGCGAACGCGTTGTGACGATGAAAGTGCCGTGGCATTTGACCCTGAGGGCTCAAGACATTATGCGCTAACAGTAAGGCCCGATGACAGGTAGCAACACCATACCATAACCTGACCCGGACCGAAAGAATTCAATATCAATATAACGCCATGGAGTAAAAGATTGTCGGATTCTCAGCCATTGTGATCGATACGGTTTCAAGAATGAAGATGGCTGGGGAAGATTTACTTCTTCGGCGCGTTCTAGTGAGCACTAGTAGTCACTAGCGCGACGCGTCCGTATGAACGCCTACAGGGATCCAAAAGTTCTTCATATAAAGACATGACGATACCTTTATTATTTCTGCAAACTTCCAGCTCATACAGAATGTCGAAACCAATTGTTATCGAGGTGAAGAAAGAGGTGGAAGGGGACATCTACTCATATGACGGCACATCCTACAGAATCAATGGAGAACGTCGTCTCGGCATTGATAATATTCTCGTCACGCTTTTCAACATGAACAGCAAAGAGATGCGCAGACACGCACTATTCTGGGATGTGATTTCCCCTGCGGACTTGGGCAAGGTAGAACTTTGGGTTCAAATCAACATGCTGAAGAAAGGACTGGCAAAGCTGAAAGCCAGCGGCGTGGCAGAAGAGCTGGCAAGTTCCATATTTCCTTACTTTCCTCCAGACCCAGTTCTTTTAGTCGTGTTTCTCTGACTAACGATCATTGCAGCTGCCAGTATATCCGAGACAGATATTTGAGGACCTTGCGACGGAATGGCATAAACAACATGGTTGGCACATCATCACTCCTCCATCTACACCACCCGCAGCAAACGACCTTAAAAGGGAGCTCGATGAACCCATCCCAGACGACCATGAGATTCTGTCCAGTAAGAAGATCAAATCGGAAGAGTTCACAAGCGACGGTGTCGACGCAGCCATACCCTCACATGCAGGGGAGCATGTGAACAGTTATTGGAGGAAGCAAACCGAAAATCCATGGACTCCAGAACGCAGCGAGGATGAGAAAAACCTCATGAACCAGCACGAGGCCTGCCGTGCCAAGCAGACTTTCGTTGCAGCTATGGGTACTTACTGGATTGAGTGCCCACTCATTGAGAATGAACACCCAGAACTAGTAGGCAGTCTGCGCATGGTCGTTCAAGCCCTTGATGAAGATACACAGGAACGTGGCTTGCTCGAGGCCCACCTCAACCTTGGGCTATTGAAAGGCACCATGGTTATGGGGCCTGGCCTTGACATAGTCCAAGATTGGTGTTACAGACACCTGAGCCAGCGTTCAAGAGATGGTGGCAATGGGAAATGCAGGATTGACAAGGACACAGAAAGACTTCGAGACGTTCTAGAAGAGCTCAAAAGAGTAAATAGAATACCTATGGACGCGATCATTAAATCACCGCCTCTCGACTTACGAAAGCCACTCGACCTCGACTGCGAAGCTCGACTATACGAGAACAGACCATCCATTGGTGGACCCATTCGGATCTCTGGCAATACCGCGCATCTCGAATTCCGGGTAGATAGTTTGTATTTCGAAGGCAAGATCAATCTTCCTATGATCAGCGACACGCCTGTAAAGATTTCTGGTCACAGAATCAAAAGCGATGATTCTTGCACCGTTGAGAAGTGGTTGGATTACGATACTTCGAAGGTCGAATATGGGGCGGTGTGGAATGAGTTTTGACCGACAGAAGATTTCGTTTGTTGACCGATGTTAATGGGGTAGATTTTATCGCTAATTATCAGAGTAGGCGTAAGAGCAGCAGTGCGCTGGGCGTGCCGCGCGATCTTTAGCCATGTAAATATTCTTTTCCAGCCCTACTGTTGACCGCTTTCGACTGTTGCTTTGTCAGGTATCAATGTACACCGCAACGCGTGTCATCGCGATCTGTGGCTGTGGTGTGAAAGACCCTGCAAACCTTACAGAGAGGGCACTGTTAGCGTGTCAATGCGCGGATGCATCCTTCTGTATGCCTGGGTCAGCCCGCCGGGTCCGCAATGAATGCTGACACTTTGCATGTAACAGTGCCGTCGCTGCTAGTGTGCCCAGGTGTTGAGAAGAAGAAGCTGCATGCATGACGCGAGTCGGAACTTCAAGCTGCTCACTCGTATCTTCGGCGTCCACTTCAAATGCGCGCGGCAATAGGTACTGCGAGCATCGTGATGCACTACCTAGGTATGCCACCTAGTTAGATCCGGACATGGAGTTGACAGTTTGCTGAACCTTCGCGCTACCTAGGTAGGCTCGGGACGGCTTGCGGAGATTCTGTGGAAAGGTGCCTGACTGCTGAGAGCGACTTGTCGCTTTCAGATGGTCGGCGCTTGCCATTGGTCGGCAAGCAGCGGGTCCCAGATGCCGCAGTGTCAGCTCAGGCCAATGCGCGTCTCGGTAAGCATCCCCACCTGCACCCTGCATCCGCTCGCAGGGGTATCGCCATGCACCCATATACATCGACATGCTGCCACCATGGACAGCATCGACACACATGCCCTATTCTTATCTTGCCAGCACTTACTGCGAGCCTAAATTTACGAACTCGATTCCAATCACCAATTACTTACGACAATGGCCGAACTCTCGTCTGCCGCAACAACCTTGGCTGGAGTGACGTATACATATAATGGATCGCTTCACCCGCGCACACGAATGCAGATAAACCACTTCTGCCTTGAGCTTGAGGAGGAGGTCAAGCAAAAGCTCATCAACGCGCGACTCGGAGTAGAGGACGTCTCGGAAGAATGGCTCCAGGCGCAGTTGCTGTTACGCGCTTTCGGGCGTCCCGGTGAAGAAGTCCGCCGAACGAAGCTTGACATGATTTCGAATCTCGAGATTATCAACGCGATACTGGAGGACAAATACTACATCGTTAGTTTAACAATACCCATGTTTATTACCCATCATACTAACCCATGTCCAGCGCCCATTGGAGCATCTCCTTGAACTCTTCCACAATTTAGAGGAGGTTTGGGCCAAAGCATATCCTGAGCATCCAGCTTCAGAGAATTATTTCAAGAACGAAACGCGACACAACGCCTCCCAGTGCTGGTGCTTTGCTGCGCAGCAAAAGAACCTACTCGTCGAAAAAACGTTGCCTGCCACGGTGACAAAGCCAAAGCCGAACGCGAGTCAGGCCGCACGACCTGCACCAGAAACGCAAGCCGCGAACGACGCCAATGTTTTCCAAGCACCCGCTGTGCACAAGCGGTCACTACCGGGCGCTGAAGAATTTGGCGAGCCTTCCGGCGGTTTGCACAAAAGACAAAAGCTCCCGTCGCCTACTCCTGAGTCTGATATCGATAACACGGAACACCCATTATCCTCGATCGAGCAAACTCCAGGCGCACCCCCGACGCCTCCAGAGCACGTGGACCATCTGCCCCTTCCAGTTGCGGTTCCTGTAAAAAGAGAAGTATCGTCAACACAAGAGCTTGCGGTTTCTGTACCTCAGTCCGAGAGCCCTCTATGGCGAGCGATTCTTGATGAACACAGCAGAACCAGGCTGCATAGGTACATGACTCAGATGGCAGGTACCTACATGGTACAGTGTCCGTTGCTTGAGACGAGACATCCAGATCTCGTCGGGCAACTCAGCATCGTGATCAAGTACATTGGTGCTCCCTCAACTACGCATGGCATACTCGAAGCTTATTTCAACTTTGGCAAATTCATTGGTCCGGCAGTACTTGGGCTCGATGATCACCACCTTACAGAGTACCTTTGGGCCACAGCAAAAGAAAGACGGGGCCAACGTGCTCCTGCTGTTTACGTGAACGCTGAAGTTGCGAGACTTTGCGAGGCCGCACTGGATATCGCTAGGGAAAGAACACCGGCACAGAAGAGAACCAACTTGAAGACTAGACATCTTAGAGACATTCCCGCTCTTGAGATTGACACTTCCGAGTTACCCGAGTTGGTTTTCGACGCACGACTTGATAATCCGACCGGCGAATACTACGAATCAGGCACATATCGCATCACGCAGGGAGAAATCAACTTCAGTGAGAGCGGTTTGTGTTTTAGCGGAGCAATCAAGTTGCCAGAAAGTGCTGGAGGAGAGATGGATTTCAATGGTTTCAAGGTCTTCAACAAATACCGAGGTGACCTCCCGCAGAAATGGGACGATGTTCCTACCAGCAAAGTATATCCGGTGGAGTATGCTCCCTCATAGGTCCTCGGCGACTGTACACACGCTGGTATTAAACTACTCAGATGAAGCTGGTGTTCATCTTTTGCTTGGAGTAGCTAAATGCCGCTGAACCCGAACAATCACGAACGAGAGTTGCGCACGCCCCGGTTTACCCGACCTGACCCGGAAGTATGTGCCACGCCCTGTATCTGCCGTTTCATTCTGTGTATTGGGCGCCGGACTTTGGGGTGGGCTCGCTTTCGGCCCGCTGCACTGACCCCGCTTTCCCGCGCGTCGCCCGACTTGATACCTTTGACACCGGTGACCCACCCGTAGCGTCTATAGAAGCGAAGCACCGGATCTCACCGTATGCTTACATCTTTACTTGTTCCTTCTCCCATCCGCTAGTTTATTGAGTAAATCCTGAGGTCGGAAGAGCAACGTCAGCACTTGATATGGTTTTACAAGCAGGTAACATTCGTCAAGCGCAGAATGTCAACATCTGCCGCATTCACGCCGGACTTGAGATCTGCATACAATTTTGACAGGCACCAAGGCATGCACGGCTATTCAGAGTTCGGGAAACTCCCGATGATGGCTCTCGATCCATACTCGGTGACTTGAGCACCGGCAGGCCGCTGCGCACGTCTGCCGTTATACCTGTCGCGGAGATCTGATGGAGAGCCGGAAAAAGATAACACCAAGACATGTAAGCCCACGACCATTCTGCCTCGTCAACTGTTCTCATTTTTATACACTCACTTGCTCCACCTTTGTTCTCCGCTTCCGCAAATCGATCTGAGACTACTGCCATCACGTGACGGCGATTTTCACTGCGGATCCGCTTGTAGTAACACAACTCCAACTTCGATTCTTTGTATTGAACTACCCTTCGCCCTATCACACCTTTGGTCTTTGTTTCACACATTCTGTTCTCTCACCATCGCACCATAATTATGCCTGCTGCAACCCAATCTCTCGAGACCATGGTTCTCCAAGCCCATCGCGCGAAAGGCGTACGATATCCGACAGCCTCTCAGAAAGAATGCTTCAAGACCTGGTATTCGTATGCGCTTCGTCAAGGTGAAGTCACGAAGACTTCCCCGAAAGTTATCGAGGAGCACGGAAAACATCTCAAGGAGATCAAAGAAGCGGCGCCGGGTGGGCGAACGTATCTTTGAGCTGGTATGTTTCTTAGCCTGCACAAAAGCTTGCAACTGGCTTACTGACACGCTTAGACAGGATTTCGGGAAGTGTTTCAGATTTGCCTTCGCACGAACTGGCGTCATCAGTCACCTTGAGAGTGTTTGGTTTTGTTATAATAGCAGTGTGCTGATAATAGTTCGATCTTAATCCTTTCTTTTTGCGTTACACCGACTCCTTTCGAGACAATTATGTCTCCCCTAGCGATTCGCAACTAGTTTGACGCTTTAATCCACAATCTGTCTCTATAACTTCGTCGTGTGGGCCTGTATCTCATTTATCACCGTAATTTGCGAAGTCGCCGATCGTTACTAAATCTAGGCCCACTGTGGACACTAGCGCGCGACTGCGTCTTTTGACGCCGTACGCGATCTCATACACGCTTTCACCCTCATGCTACCATCTCTTTGTCTTCCTGCGCTGCACATGAATTGTTGACTTTTTCCGATAACCAAACCAAACAGCGAATCTCTGCATCAAGGTCAGGCGTCTAGCAAGTTGCGCACTTCCCTTCACTCGCCTTGTCCTAGCCGCTGCTTGCAGCTTGCCCAGGTGGCACGCTCATAGCAATCACCAAGCTGCGCTACAAACGGCATCCCATAACACGACTTCAGTGGCATATCCAGGCGCTGTAGTCATTGTGAACACTGGATCATATATATGCGCTTCGCCGCATACCTACCGTTTCACTGCTCTGACAATTGATTTTATGCTCCAACGGCGAGGCATGCATTCCAAACACGCCTCTATCTCCAACTTAATCTCTGGACATGATGGCTGCCATGATACCATCCCTTCCTAACCTTGGAAGACTGCAACCCCACTACGAAGGTTGTAAGCAGTACTCCCATGCGCATCGGCGCTCCTAGAAGATCTATCAAGATGTCACGACGCTTACACCTCGGTTGCATGGCCGGCTCACCTTCACCTTCACTATATCTCATCTGAACGATGAAATGGCGCGCTATTGTGCCATCACAAGGTGCGAAATCTCTGATCGGCGACCGCAACTACCAATAGAAGCTTCAGGATAACGCATGTGAAACGTGTGTGTATACTGCGAGAGAGAAGCGCGCGACCTGTCAACCATGGGGGTGAAATCTCGTCCCAGCCACTTTCAAAAACCTCCGCTACTCAATTCTACATAATTAAACCCACCGGAAGCCGCAGCTTTCTCCTTCTCAACTGCAACTCCCACATCCGCTGCCTGATCAGGACCAGTCTCAACTACAGCGCATATACACCAGCGCCCGCGATACAGTTTCCACACCCGGAGGAAAAAACAACATCTACGAAAAGATGAGCGCTACTCACCTTGCCTCCGTATATATCCCAGGACAGCTTCGACGCCTCGACGACCTGCCGCCCGAGCTGATTGTTATGATCGCGAGGAATACGAATGACGCCTCCGACATCTCATCGCTACGTCGCGTGAACAGGTTCCTGAGCGCGGCCATCCCCGCATGGGTTATCTCCGAGACGACTTTCTACATAATGCCTATGTCTAGTAGCATCTCGAGGATGGCACAAGCAGTGCAGATCCAGAGCACCAACCCTAGTTGCAACCTAGGACGTGTTCCGGCGGTAATCTTCGAGAACGTATGGCCGACACCGCCTGCTGAGTTTGGGCTCCATGGAGAACTCACCCAGCACGATGACTGGGAGGCCGACAGTGACGATGAGCTGCCGCCAAATTCGAACACCTATCTCCACTTCATAGATGGGTGCCATGAAGAGCGCGACTCTGCCCAGTTACGCGACTCCCTGGCGCACTCACTCGGAAGCTTTCATGGCGTCAAAGAATTGATCCACGTTCCCGGTTTCGACAGTTCTCGACCAGCACAGGAGCGACCCTCCCGTGAGGAGCTCCTTCAGACAGTGCTGCTCTATAAGGACCACGATCCGGAAGATTTTGAAGACGAGATGTGGACTCGCCGCCGCTTGATGTTCGAGCCATATCAAGGAATCCTCGATCAAGCGTGCCCTAAAATGTTCGATCGCGCTGTTGATGCCGTTCTCCGCAACCCGATGCGGAAGAACAAACTGAAAGTCTATATCGAAACGCATTCAATCTGCGCACTGGGAGATGTCGATCCAAGCGCGTCACCAATACCCGCCAGTCAGCTCGGAGATGTACTTGCGATAAAGTACATTGGTCGTTGGATGTCAACACTGGATGCCATGGTCTTCGACTTGGAGATTCTGCACAATCAGAAGATCAACACAGCATCGCACTACGCGGGTATAACGCATCTCTCGATCAGCGGAGATGGACTGGGCAACGAGGGTTCAGTACACATGGGGCTCTTGGGCGGCCCATCGCACTCTCCAGACTGGTCACGCTTGGAAACACTACACCTCGACGATACTCAGCAGAACGACCAGTCCGCTGATTTTCTTCGCCAGCAGAAATGTAATCTCGAACTCCACAACGTCTACTGGCTCGGAGATTCGATCCAACGTTTTTCCAAAGGCTCGTCACTTCGAGATGTGAAGGCTTCCGGTATTTTCGCCATCGAGGAGACCAAAGAGCATGCCAGGGGCGTCTGGATTGTGGCAAACGATCACAGGGAAGCCTACGAGATTGCGGTAAAGAATGCTGGGTGTTGCAAGCCAATGGCATTAGGCCCTGCCGTCCCCTTCGTCTCACCAAGCGATGTTCAGCGGTACATGGTGAAGGGAGGTGTCTTGCCGTTCAGCAAGGCGAATGTATGGGCAGAAGACTGGAAGTTGTAGAGTTTCATACGTCTGTCGCAACTTCGTCGTTCTTGTCGCATCGCCGCACACGGCCACACAAGCGCTAGGTGTCGCAATTATCGATCACCGTTTGAGCAGATGGTTCTTGTTCGACAATGGGTCTTCAGGCACTCGCGAGTGAAGTTGGTTTGCCAAAGTTGGCTTTATCCATGTCCGATGGCTCGGTGCGTCGGATGAGGTGTGGGCAGAGGATCGATTTGGGTTTGAATTGCAATATAAGTCAGTGGAGATGTAATCGTGAGCACATTTTGAGGTGAACCTTCACGGGCCAAAAACCCCGGATATGTCGAGAAAACAAAGCGTGAAGCACCAGACTTTGAAGATGCCCAGGTATGGCGCCCCACGGGCGGCTGGACGTCATTGGGCCGAGGTCCTGGCAGCGCGTCATGCAGGTACCCACAGAGGCGGGGTACGCCTACTCACCCCAAAAGGGTGTCGTATCCCGAAATCCCGAATAGCATACACATCTTCTGGAACCAAGTAGATCATTAATCATTGCTTACCATACAGGCTACGACCTTACAACGTAGGATCTGCTTTGCTCGTTGTTACTTAAACCTCCTTTTTTTCCCGCACCGAATTTGCCATCACAGCAATACTTCCATAACAAACTTCATCTACACCACCCGGAACAACAACATACTACTATCCTACGCAAAATATGGCGCCTCCATCTTTCCGTGACCTTCTTGGTATGCCCGCCTCTACGGCTTCGACTAGCGACTCTGCTCTTCTCATCATTGACGCCCAAAATGAGTATGTAAGTAACAACCCGTGTCTATCTAGCGGTCTACATGCTTCATCCCCTGAATCCTGAAAGACAACTACTGCCCGTTTATCGGCAAGGATGGTTTCGTTTTGAATGCAGCGATTTATTGCCGAACGTTTAATCTCCTCATTGCTCACACTCGCTCTCTCCTTGCCAGCCGCATCGCTAACTCTACCGACTAGTCATCCGGCGCTCTCACCGTAACAAACGCCGCAGCAAGCGGAAAGGTCATTGCCGACCTTCTCGACAAGTACCGCAAAGCAAACGGCAAGATCATCCACATCCTGCACCAGACACCCGAAGGCGCACCCGT